AGCTTGCTTTTATTTATCTTAATTAAAACTACAGTTCCCTGTTCAGCCCTTTGACAACAGTAACCTAAGCACCCAAGGTCTTCTACAGCCTCATTTTTTTCTGCCGTTTTGTTGTCAATATATGACAAATATGAACATTTTTATTCGGTATAACTGTTCTTGTATTTTACAGCGCTGTCAATACCTATGTAACATGATAGAGGAAGAAAAATCAGACATGAGTGGAATACTGTAAGTCTAGTTCTGGTTTCCTCCATAATGATATTACAGAATTAATCTGACTTTATAGTAATATGCTTCCAATGACTACTCCTGAATTCATGTCTGAATTGGATCAAATTAATTAAGTGTCTAGGGTACAATGTCTTTAGAACAGACAGGCCAAAGTTCTACCAGTAATTGAAAATGGAATGAGAAAACCATTTGCCAGTATTTCACATGGAAGAAAAGGTATGTATTAAACAGGTTGGAGCACCTGGACACACGGTTTTGAGCCATGCACAGATGGCCTGCTGTAAACTGACAGCATCAGAAGCATCTTAAGATTTGTTATGCACTCATGGATCAGTTGCACAGCACATGCACAGGGGAGGTGACATGTCCTGGGTTCACCCAACTAACTCCATGAGCCGGGAAAGGCTGATCTGCCTCTTTGTTCACAAACAAAACAACTGAAGAGACTGCTGCTGCTATGATTATTGTTCAGGATTACAGATTGTCCTAGAAAGTGGCAGGATAGTAGATAACTTGCAGTAATTTAACGTTGCTAATTTTAAAGAAAAAAAGAAGCTGGATTCCACTTATTGTTTTCAAAATTAGTAATAAATGATCAAGGTTATTCATACTAGTGAGCTCTAATACAGGATGGACCAAGAGAAAATAAGGACAGATATATTGGTACAAAATTAGAAAAAAATGCAAGGATGGGAAGAAGATTGAGGTGGAAATGATAAATTATGAAAATTACTCAGCTCTGTACATGACCTGCAAATTGAAAGTAATAAATAAATAATAAAAGAAGAAATGGGAATAAGAATGTTTTGGGAAGGTACAACATGTTTCCTAATCCTTCTACTTTGCAAATTAATGCTCTGTTACTCTAAGTATGTTTGGATCATAGTGGATTTTTCTCCAAGGACTAAAGTCACAGTCTTTTAAGCTAACTGCTGCATGTATTGTAACAATTTTGATGTTGTTATGATCTTAAATATTTATGTATTAAATATTTAAGTATGGAATGCGGTCTTATCTCTTTTCTATTGCGAAGTTATTTACGCATTATTGCGCAGTTTTCTATTTTGCATAGTTAAGAAGGCTGACATCATATTCAACTCACAGAAGAGGCCAATTTTTCACTGTCCTCTTGCTTTATTTAATACCCTAATGTTCTGGTAGAAATACTTGATCAGGAGAGTCCTTCAGAAATGAAGCAATGAAATCAGGTCAATTTCAAGTTTTCTGTAAAACTGCAAAATGCCTGAACTCTCTCTAGTAAGAAGCATCTCATACACAGAATTTTTTTGTAACTTTGATGAAGTGGTAGAGACAGTCATTTTGTGAAAAAAACCCACCACTTGTTTTAAATAACCAGGTATAAAAAAGAATGAAATGTAGAACTGAAAAAAAATAAATTAGTGGGATGGTAGAAAATAATAATCAAAATTAACAAAATCTATTGTTTTTGGCAGGTTTAGATTAATCTCTGAAAGAAAAAACTCCACTAAGAAAGAAAATATATTGCAAGATAATGTTAGAAGCCAAATCGGTATCCTAATCAGATGTGTCTCATTTCACAGTTTGCTTCAGTTGCTCTCTTCTCAGTACATGGGACAGTACCACTGTTGAAAAAGGTTCGTCTGGCTTTATCTGCAGATAAACTAACATTGATTTTTAATTTTTCTTAAATAGGTCTGTAACACAAGAGATAATAATAAAGAAAAATATAACAGCTCATACACTTAGATTAACAATTAAAATTTAGGGCTAATTGAGAAAGACATTAAATCACCTTTGATGTTACGTGACAATACAAAAAAGAAAAGCACAATAAACTTCAGAAACCCTGACAAAACATGTAAAATTTAGTTGCTCCTTCACTCATTCTTATTTGTTATAAAGATTAAACTAATGTGTAACATTCTATTTTGCTTTAGAAACAAAAGGTAAAAATAAAGTTTTAGCAGAAAACAAGTAACTTTTAAGAGCAATTTAAATAACTTTTCCAACTTCCTTCTCCACCCAGTAATTAAGTTTTTTCTCTTACATTAATTTATCTCACTTCCATTTGGATTTTTATTCTTTTAGATATGAAAAATTGGGATGAAATAATACATCTATGTCGCAGTGTACTTTTGTGACACATTAATTGTTTCTTATTACTGAAGAATAACACTGTGTTGGAAACAGTTGACAACTATTCTGCATCTCAAGGTTCCCTAACTTTGTTTCTTATCCCTGAGAAATTAAGGTATTTTGATATTGGTATATTTTTGTGTGAATTTTCAATAAAGATAAAAAAGACAGAGTTCATTATACTTCAATTCTCTTCCTCATTTCATAGATTACAGAGAAACTTTTCTATTATTTAATTTTATATAAAAATTTTACTTACACAAATGGAGTCTTTTAATCCATCTAACTGGGAAATGCATTCACTTCTTAGAATGATCCAGGTCTGATACTTACATAAGGCATACTGCACGTATGTTTTTGCCTATGCATATCACCCTCACTCCTAAGCGACACCTGCACACTGAAGAACAGACAGATCTTGATCCCTGATAAGGTCACAGGGACTTAGCTATAATATAGCCTTGCTTAATCCTCATTGGTTTTGCCTACTGAGCACAAGGCTGTTTCCTTGACAACACAGCTACAGTTACCACAGCATTCAAACACATATGTGATGTCCAGGTTTAGGGTATATCCCAGAGGTAAATCTGTTATTTAAAGCTATTTTCTACAGGTCATTTTAGGCTAAAAATAAAAGCAGAGAAGATCTTCTGCACACTCTATTAAAGACATTCCCTATATAGGTTGGACACTCCTGAAACTCAGTTCTTGTCTTAGCACATGGAACAAAAGTCACAGCAAGAAGCCATGGGATGTAAGGGCATTACTGAGTGTTTATATAAATTCCTATTAAGTGAGACAAAGCAAAAAAGAAATACCATTTGAAAATTCAACAAGGGGCCAATAATGGCTAGCACACAAAGGGAGGGAGCACTGGGTGAAAGGTTTGGGAACAAGTTTAAAGGTGGATATAGAAACAAGATGGTGACAAACTACACACTGTAGCAACATTTTACATAAATATTATGGAAGGAGGCTATGTTTTTTGAAGCTCAAAAAAGGGAAATTACAGTAATTAAGTGTGAAACAAGAGAAAACAAACCTATCAGATATATAACCGAATAAGGAAGATTCTATTTTAGAAATACTCTTCAGCAAGTATAGGCAAAAAGAACTTCAACAGTAAATCTAGCCAGACAATTTTTTATACTTCACCAAAAGCTCGCAGTACTACAGTGCATAGAATATATCCTATTAAAAATTAGTTTATTGGTTTAAATTTGTTCAAACAACGCTGACAGGGCAACTTTCTAGTGGCAGATTTTTTACGTGACCACATATCAACTAATCTAATATGAAAACAAAAGGTTGTTAAAAATCTTTTTTGTGTGTGCACCAGCCAGTGTAACAGAAATGCACTATGTGTTCATGCATATTCTAACCCAACTTAAAACAGGCAAATTCAGTACTAGTAACTGGAACTTTATACAAGATGTTCACTGAGAGATGTCTGAGTGATTTTAATTGAGATGAAGCAAGACTGAATTTAGGAATGAAGCAGAGACTAACTTGACCTCATGGTTATTGGACGTGCAACATCCAAGCCTGAGTAGGGCATTGCAATGGACCTTCCAGTAAAAACACTCAGAAGAGAAGGATTTAATCAACTGACAAGACAGCAGTTTGTTTCTTAGCAACACAGGTCACCAAGAATACATCACTCTACTCATATAGTTGATTTCCTACTGAATATGGTTAAATTTCAGTTTTCAGCTTTTCTTTTCAAATATCTCAAGTGTAGAAACTCACATAATAAAAAGATCAGGTCAGCACAACTAAGAACACAACCCCCCATGATACTGAACTTCCATCTCCAAGAACAGTGGAGTAGAAAATGTAAAAAAAATTACTGTGGGGCTTCAGAGGGGATTGGGAAGGCTTTTTATTTGGTTTTGGTTTTAAACTCCCAACAAACAATGATGAAGAGTTCTTCATCTGTCTGGCCCATATTTGTCAATTTAGCCCTGTGAAGTTGGAAAAACTATGAATTCTCCTGCTTTCAGAAAAAAAACCCATAGAATGTAAACTGGGACTTCTGAAAGAATGCACTGAGAAAGAAATATCAATTTTCTTAGATACTAAGATAGTACAGTGATAAGCAAGATGTAATTGGCCTAGTAACAGAACAAATTAGCAAAAATAAGAGCATTTGTTGAATACTTTTTGTACTTTAGTCTCTTCATATTTCATGTTTTCGAGTTTAAAACTCAAAAATTTCTGAAAACCTGTCAAAACTTAGTTTGACTAAAATACTGACTATGCAAAACTGTTACTAATTAATTATTTGCTCATATAAATTCTGAAAAAGCTGTTATTTACACAGGTCACTGAACCACACAAAGTGTGCATATTGCGAATCTAAGACATTGAAGAGATATTAAGGGGCTTTTGGAAAATGACAGGCTGTTTATTGCTAAAAAGTGTCTGTAAAGACTGTGAGCATCTTGCATTACCAGCGCCCTATGAAATCATGGTTATAAAATTTTTTGTAGATTTTAAAAATAAGGTTAATACGTAACAAACCCATTAATTAGCCATTTTAAACTATGATGCAGAAGTAGGAGTCTCATCTAGGAATTAGATTTTTTATAAGAAATACAGCCACATTTAGAAAGCTAGCTAATGTTATTAGACAAATATGTACTTACAATAAAAGCCCAGAGTTAATTCTTAGAAATTCTGAAATAGATGACAGCTGCAAATACAGTTGTATTGACATCATGAGTTTTACATCTGTATCAAATAAAAAAAAAAGGATTACAGTTACGAAAGGAAGCCAATTTTTATAACGATCTCAAAATTTAATTAATTAGTAACTTTTCATAACTACCTTTCCAGCTGAAAAACAGAGAAAGAAAGAACTACAAATACTTAAAAAGGAATAATGACTGATGCGACAAATCTAAATTTAAAATTCTTTCAAAAGAATGACTAGTAAATACACATGAAAGATTTCAAGTTCATTCCTTTTGGAGGCTAGTACATACTGGGCAAGGTAAAAGTGAAGTTAACTGGATATAGGGCCTTTTGCAACAGAAGAAGAAATAAGAAAGAGGAAAAGACACTAATCAAAAAGAATACAAGCCTACTCAAACAAGCATACTCAAGGTTAGATCATGATCAATAGCAAGATTCTCACATGATAGAAAATTCTTACACCCACTCTAGAGGAACCCCAAATCCCTGTGTTCCTACAATATTAATGTAAAAATGAAGATTAAATTATGTAAAATATATCTGTACTAATATTAATATATGGAAAACAACCAAAGTTATACTAAAAATCAACTTAAAATAAATTAACATACTGACCACAACTGTTATTTTATTACAGTGAGGCCCTTAAGTGAATGACTTTCCTAGCACATGGTGAGGTAACTGCTTTCAAATATGTGCTACTCAGGATTCCAAATCCATTCCCCTCTTTTTTTCTTAAACAACTTACTTTTGCCCTGTCTTTTGCAGAGTTCTACCAACCTAGGTCACCAAGAAATCTCGCTGAAAATTCTATTACCCGCTTCCTTAAGTTACTATAAATGTACATTAATCGTACTGTAACACAGATCAGTTGAAAGATAATATTTGCAAGACAGATTCTCTGCTAATAGTGTGTTAACATGGATACTGAACCAAAAACTGTAAGACTTAACTGATTCATACAGAGAATTAAATGTTTCTTTTCTTCTAAGGACTCTGACTTCTCTCCATATTCTCTAGATTTTATATATCGGAATTTGTTAATTGTTTCCCTATGAGATTACTTTTTTTCCTGGATTTACTGGTTAATAGATCCTTCCTGATTTCTGGGACTTAAACACTGAAATAATACTTTGACAGCTCCAAAAAAATTAAATTATTTAAACCACACAAGATTACAGAACTGAAGCCAGTAAGAACATTTACTTGGTAAATGCTTAAAACATTGTAAAACCACAAAGTAACAATGCAAAAAAAGTAACAATAAGCAGTCTCACATACCTAAGGCTTAGATCAACTGCAATTATTTGTAAAAGTATTACAAATCTAACTAATAGTTTTAGCTGAAAAAGTAATAAAGTAACATTTCATTTAACAATTTTTCCAAACATCTTTTATGTACTAAATACTTCAATTGTAAAATTAAATTAAAGTTTTCATCATGATTTTTAGGGAATTTAATACAAACAAAACCTTCTTAAAAATACACAAAATAGTACATTTTCACTGTCTACAAAGGAAATAACAGAGACAAAATGGTTAAATTACCTACATCATGTTGCACAGGCAGGGGCCTGGGTAGTAGAAAGACTTGGTTCACACTTCTTGTTTCAAAAACTCTATGTATTCTTTCAGGCTCCAGTATCTGAAAGGAAAGTTATGCAAGGGCTAAAAGGGGACCAGTAGACATGGATACTAAATTTAGACGTAAAATTTTCAATTTCCTAAAATCTGATGTAGCTTTCAGCATTAGATAATGCAATTTTTAATGTGATGATGATACATTTTTCATTTTGTCACACTAAATGATCTCTTTCCAAGCATGTTGAGGTAATTACCAGAATCTAATAGCAAAATGAAACAACCAAATTGCCAGCATCTTCATGTATCTGTTGAATAAATTTTCAATCACTGCAGTTCCAATTTCAATTTTGGTATCATAATTATCCTTCATTACAGCAACTACTTTCAGACATTCAAGTAATTTTCAGTAATCTTTATTGTCTTACAGTAGAAATTCACATTTAACAATCTGCTTGTCTATTCCTTTTTTATAATTTTCCTACATTATAGTATTTTTTGGACTGCAGAGTTAGACATTTAATGATTTGTCCCTTTTCATCAAAGGAATGAAGATTGACAATGCAGTCAGCACATCATACAAGGAAGCACAGATATCTAGTGATATTTTTTGACCTCACCTTTCTCCCAGTAGATTAAGTCTTAAAAAACCAGTGCTGGCAGAGTCTCAAACTCTTCAACTATGGAATAAGCCATTTAAAATTTGTAAAATTTCAGCAGCCTTCTTAATGCAAATAGAGAAATAAACTCTACATGAAGTCTTAGATAGTTTGTTTTATTTTCATTGGCTGCTACCATTAAAAGTTTGTAATGTTTCCTGAAATTATTAATTCTATCAACCAGAGACATAATTACTTGATGTCTCATATTTTACAGACAGTATAAGACTTTGTGTAGATTATATTTCTCCATTTGCATCTAGAAGGATGATGAAATTTTACAAGTTCTAAAGGGCATATACCTTTGCTGAAGAGTTTGAGAGTCTTCTGTACTTGTTTTTTAATACAAAATAATTGTTTATACAATGAACACATTTCAACACAGTGCAACAAATCTATTACATTTTCCTGTTTAGAAATGAGGAAGTTTAAACTACATAAAACATCTTTTTTTCTCTTTCAGAACGAAATAATATAATGAAATTCCATCCCAGAAAAATTATACTTGCAGCAATTTCAGTGCTGCTAACTTAGAAAAAAAAAGGTTATATTGAGATTATTAGTTAAGCACCATTCAATGTTTAGAAAGACCAGGGACTGGCTTTTTCCTAGGCAGTACATACACTCAGAGAATAATTATTCATAACATATTTGAGAACAAAGTCTGCCAAAACGACCAATACTGAGAGAATGAAAGAGCAAGAATACTTTTTTTTTTTAAATGCTGGAAATTGTAAGTAAAAATAGCTAATAGCTGGATAATTATTTGATAATCTCTGCATATGAATTTCCTGGTCAGAAGCTTTCACACCAGTTACAATCAGAAGTAAGACAGATCGCCAAGAATAAAAAATACTTAAAATGAACTATTACAGATGCAATCCTGCATGTTTTTAAAGTGTGCTGAACTGTACTGTCTCACTTCAGACAGTACAGTTGTTCAACTTGCAGTGGCACTTGATGAAACTCAGTGGTCAGTTAGTTCCATCTTCAAGGTTCCAGGTTTCTATGTTACTTTCAGTTTTTCAGAACTGTCAGTTTTCATTAACAGATTACAGTCATAGTTCAATGACCTTAAGTGATATTAAAGACCTTCTAATGAAAAATATAAGCCTGTATGAATGGTTGAAAACCCCCCAAAACAACCAACCCACAGTTTCTTCTGTTTTGCTGACTGTGTACCAACTGATTTTTTGCAATCTTGATGTCCTTACTGCCTGTAAAACAGTGATAGAACCAGAAAGACGTGATCTTCCAACAATACATTTGCTTCCTGCTTTAGTCCTCTGAATGTTACTAGATAGAGAGATCATCCCTTCCCAAGCAGAAGGATAAAAAGATTTACAACTGGTCAGTAGTCATCTCATCTGTAAGAAGCTCCATGGGCCTGAAGGCAAGACACAGAGTGATAAAGCATATGATGTAATAAGAAATACAGGATTCTCAGCATGAGGGAAAAATTAAATTTTAAGGTTAGTTAAGACAAAGAAACTCTTATTACTCCCACAAGTTAATCATAACAGGTATCATAAGGAAACACGTTGTTTTCATGGCCACTTTGCATAGGTTGTTCTATTTCAACCTCCACAACACCACCAACCTGTCTCTTAACCCCCTTTCTGTTATTGTTGTCTACATCCTTTCTCTCTGATTAGCAAACCCTAGCAGCTTCTACATTCTTCCAACTTCTATCAGCGCTGCCATTCTGTCAAACCAAGTGAGTTTCTATCATCCTCAGGCTTCCTTGTTGTTTCTGTTCCTCGCATGGATCCCAATGCTAACCTTCTCATTCACTCTGCTCTTGAAATCATCTTCCCAGTTGCACAGAACCTGTTTTTAAGACAGAAATGCTACACTTGTAATGGCAAGTGGCTTAACTTTCACTTTTTTAATATAAAGTGGTAGGATATGTCCTGCCTTGTAAATTAACTTTTGTACATGCAATACATATATTGTACTGTATTGCAGTACGGGTCCTTTTTGTAATTTTTTTTCTTTATTTAACAGTAGGGAGACATTCAGCTTTTAGCACATCTGAATTTTGCAAAGGTTATTGACAACATCCAAGTCAACAAAACTGCACTTCCAGAAGAGGTGGCTTCCCTGTCATGGAGATCACTTTACTGAAAGTAGCACTCCCTATCTTGGAAAAAGGATGGAAAACAAAAACAGAAAATGATACATTAATGGAAAAACTCAAAGAAGGAAAAAATGAACCTCTTTAAATCTTTGTGATGGGTACAAAATAGCATATTTGTCATGCCATGTTGTCATAAAAAGTATTTAATAATTTATCACATCAACTGGCTAGAACATACCTCGGGACTTCTATTCCCCAGGCAAATAAAATTTTGACTCAGTCCGGTTCAAGACTGATGACATTAGTTAAGCCATGTCATTATGATGGCTAACAGCCAAATTTCTGTCTCAATCATACACTCAGAAGTGTAATGATGATGGATCTGATGTGTAATTCACCCACAAACTGTCACTATTTGATTAATCTATTGTGATAATTATTAATGCAAATATCTGCAAACTATCTGCAAAGACAGATATGCATAGTTTTTGTTGCTCTTGTCTCAGAGATCACAGAAGCTCATTTAATGGAAAACAAATAATCAAAGACAGTGTGATGACATCTGCACAACTTTTGATAACTGACTGGTGCAGAAAATCTGCTGCATATTTCAAACAGCAGATTAATAAAGATGATGGAAAAGGTGCAGCTGTTTGTTTCATAAGCAAATCTGTGTTTAAATGCAATTAAGGATTTAAACTAATATTAGTTTTAATATTAACTGCCACAAGCTTTAGCCCAATTAATGGTTGAAGAACAATTGACATTATCTACAGATCACTATTGATATGATTATTATATCAATAACTTGTATTGTATAGCTGGAGAGGATTAGTTAAATGATACAATTGTTCCACATTCCCATTTTGGTTCTATTTTTACTCCAAGTAGATTAAATAAGGCAAAAGGAAGAAGTTGAATTTAGGAAGAAAGCTACGGCTGTACAAAGTAAACCGAATCATATATAACAAAATCTTTATTTGTTTTACATACACCTCTTCAGGTTTTCAGAGTTTTCAAAATAACTGTCTGAGTAAATTCAGTTCAGCACCTAGATGATACTTCAAAAATGCTTCTAAGTCTTAAGAGGCATCTGCTCAGGACACAGTGTACCCATATATTGAAACATCTCTTTAAAATCTAGACCAAATACTTCAGGGATTGAGATTGTTATCATGGTGCTTTCCTATTTTCAATTTGTTTTTGACTCCATAATTGCAAAGATAACTTCTTCAGGTCACTGAATCTTCTCTGATTCCAAGAACAAGATCTCATCACATACAGGGAACAGTTAGAAATAAAGCAGTAGGCAGAGGCAACCAAGACTCTGTAACTAAAACATCTCTCAGAGCCATTTAGACCTGACCATCAGAGTATCAAATCACCATCTTTGGTGATGCAAATAAGGAGTAAGGGGAGTGAACAGAAATTAAGTGTATTGACTTATATTCCTGTATCCAATTATTTATCTTTTCACTCTTGGACTGCAGGGTTTTGTATGTCTGACAGAAAAATTACTTCCAGCGATGGGGAGAAGGTGAGTATTGAGGGGAGGAAATGTATTTTGTTTAGTGTTTAAGAAGTACTACTTCTGCCTTTCATGCTCCTTAGAGGCTAATCCACTCGTCTTACAGGTATACTATTCCTTATTAATTTAGAAAAAGATCACTTTTTATGGCTGTGCCTGTAGCAAGATTTCCCTTGATTTAAAAATCCTGTATCTATCTTACTTCAGAAAAAACCTTATTAACAGACAGCATAAATTATTACAAAGTTCACATCATTTCTTAGAGCAGGTTATTCTGTTCATACAATTAAATAACACAGTACCAAGTAATTTCTTGTATCAGTTTACAAACTTAAAATATTTAAAACATGCTAGAAGCCATTATTTCTTTCTCAATATTGCTACAATATTGTTTAAAAAAAAAAAAGTTGGAAAATAAGCAAGCAGATTTTTACATCAGTTAAAAATTAATTTTTCCTTTCCAACATTATTGCTCCTTCCTCTTTTGACGATGACTACTGTTAAAGTGAAGACAAAGATTTTCTCCCAGGGCCAAGAAAAGTACTTGAAAGTTGCATGTCAATCCCATTCTCATTTCTTTAAATGTATGTTTTTAAGTATGTCTTTCTTATGCAGTAAGCAGAAACCATTAAGTAAGTGCAGTGGTGAATCCCCATGCTGCCTTCCCCCCAGGCCACACACTGATCTCAGAAATGCTCATTAGGCCTCAGCCCTGACAAACAACACAAGCATCAGGCCCTCCTTGAGCTTATCAAAAACACTCTCTGCTCCCAGGACCTAGTGCAGTCTAACAAGCT